TACAAACTGTTGTCAAGAGCAGGTCATGTCAAACCCGCCCTTAGGGGCAGATTGGATAGCACGAATGACTCCTTACATATTTTCTCTAAGGTCAATCAACAGTCTCCATTAGAATTCCACTGCATAAGAATTATAATCATTGAGTTGGAAGATCATCCAACCGCATTTTGGACCCACAATAGGAATCACTCTACAACAGTCTATATAGCTGGCTATCTGGTCACCTAAGATTGGAGCAGTCACTGTCCTACAAGATAAAACCAAGAAAACCAAACCCATTGGTGTTGAGTCGATTCTGGCTCATAGTAACCCTATAGGACAGAGTAGAACTGCCCGATAGGGTTTCCAAGGAGCAGCTGGTGGATTCGAATTACTGACCTTTTCGTCAACAGCCCAATGCTTAACCACTGCACCACCAGTCCTACAAGATAGTACATTCTTTTCGTGGCCAGTACTAGGTTTTTCAAAGTTCTTCCTGATGTTGAGGTGAAGTCTTCCTATCTATATCTCCAACTCTTTGGTCCTAGTTTTACCTTTGAAGCCACTCAGAGCAAGCTCACTCTCTCTCCCACAGGAGAGGCCTTCAGATTTTTTGAAAGTTATCATCATGTGACTCACCCACCCACCTAAAGTCTTCTCCAGGCAAAGTAGTTCCTTCAATATGGTTTCCAGATTTTTCATCTTATTTGCATCCACCAATTAACTATGGCATCACAAACTGATCTCTTTATTTTAGAAGAGGCCTAGTCAGTATACATATAGAGAGATTGTCATTTCTAGGGATTAGGATACCTGGGCTACCTCTTAGAACCCACCTTTTTCCCCTGGTGCTATCAAACCTTCCACACCAGGGCCAACCTTGTCTCCCAAACTTTGCTCCCACTGGCCTGTGCTTTGATCCCCTTACCCAGCCTTGGATACGCTAGGGTCATTGACTTGCTAAGCCAAGTTATTTGCTCTCAGTCCAGCCTGTGACCATGAACACCTAATGAATGGGGTTAGAATTAAAATGAGGCTTCGCTCCATTCAGTAAAGATTGCTTACCCTAGTATGAATGCACTAGCAAGATCTAATCTTTGAAAGAGTTGAGCAGTTGACTTTGAAGTTGCTATAAACGTAGGTCCTTTGAGAAGTTAGGGATGAAGTCATTAGGGATGAAGTCATAGAGTACATCCTTAATATTTACAAATTATAGAGTGGATGATTTAATATATTAAGTGTTAATGATTTTTAGTATCACACATTATCTTTGTTGTAACCACTAGCATTCTTTTTAAAACAGTTTTTTAAAATATGAGAGTAAATGATGCGGGAAATAATTTTAATACAGTCTTGGTGAATGAATAATGTGCAAATTGCACATTAGTCCTTCATCTCCTAGGCAAAATCAAGTATTGCATGAGGTAGCTTCACTCATAGCCACTTTAATATACATTTTGAAAATAAATTAGTGATGTATAAAAATAAATGTAGCAGAAGTGAGAATTTAACTAGATGGACAGCAAACAGATTTTCGGTGAAGAACTGAAGGTGAAATATTGTGATGATTTGCTAACTTGGAAGTTCCACAGTGCAACCTAACGTGTCCATCAACAGATGAATGGAAAACAAAACATGGTACATACATCCAGTGGACTATTACTTAGCCATAAAGAGAAATGAATTTCTAATACATGCTATGACATGGACGAACCCTGAAAACGTTATGCTGAGTGAAATAATTCAATTACAAAAGGACAAAATTGTATGATCCCACTTACATGAAATATCTAGAATAGGCAAATGCATAGAGAGAAAAGTTTATTAGTGGTTACCAGGGGCTAAGGGGAGGGGGAAATAGGGAGATATTGCTTAAGGGGTACTGAGTTTTTGTTTGTTGTTGTTATGTTAGGTGCCACTGAGTCGGTTCTGACTCATAGTGACCCTATATACAACAGAACAAAACACTGCCCGGTCCTGCGCCATCCCCACAATCATTGCTATGCTTGAGCCCATCGTTGCAGCCACTGTGTCAATCCATCTTGTTGAGGCTCTTCCTCTTTTTTGCTGACCCTCTACTTTACCAAGCTTGATGTCCTTCTCCAGGGACTGGTCCCTCCTGATAACATGTCCAAAGTATGTGAGACAAAGTCTCACCATCCTTACTTCTAATGAGCATTCTGACTGTACTTCTCCCAAGACAGATTTGTTCGTTCTTCTGGCAGTTCATGGTATATTCAATATTCTTTGCTAACACCACAACTCAAATGCATCAGTTGTTCTTCAGGCTTCCTTATTCATTGCCCAGCTTTTGCATGCATATAAAGCAATTGAAAACACCATGGCTTGGGTCAGGCACACCTTAGTCTTCAAGGTGACATCTTTGTTTTTCAACACTTTAAAGAAGTCTTTTGCAGCCGATTTGCCCAATGCAATACATCTTTTGATTTCTTGACTGCTGCTTCCATGGGTGTTGATTGTGGATCCAAGTAAAATGAAATCCTTGACAACTTC